AAGAGAGAGAGAGAGAGAGAGAGAGAGAGAGAGAGAGAGAGAAAATCGACGCTACGATCCTGAGCGCATCATCCCGCGCGACTTGATTTACAGCAGAATTAACATCGTGATGTTGCTCGAACAGCTCGTTATTTGGCACAAGCAGCGTGTCTGAATGCAGGAAAGAGTAGCGATTATCTCGTGTGATAATTAAACGAACTATCCCGTCGTCGGTGGAAATCGCAAAAAATTGCAAACCTGTTATCGAATACCATTAATGCGAAGGATAAACCGGTGCAACCACGATCTATTTAAAAATATTATAACCGCGCGCTGTGTTGCGCCGCTGCATACATTCTACTTTATCACGCGAATTCTTCGCATAGACTTCAAGCAGCGAGCGAGCAACAGCACGAGAACGACGTCATATTATTTAATGTGCAAGTTTCAAGTCCAAAAATTTCCCATTAAAAATCATCCACCAGAGACAAACAAGCGTCAGTTGTTGAGCAAAAATTAAAAAATTCTTTCCCGAGATACCTTTTGTCGGGGAAAAACATCGACTTCAGATGTCACCAGCTGTAGAGTTCGTAACGAGGAGAGGGAATTGGCGTGACATTATGCACATCGTGTATTTAATGAGCAACGAAATATCTCTGAAAATTAGAATAAGTGCTACATATGCATTACCACAGATAATATCTGGATTTTTTCTACGCAAGTATCGACGTCTCGACGGACGCGTGTATCGCGCAACGCCTCTGGCGAGCCTACTGCATGGTGAGCCGATGCAACATTGCTTCACGGTGACAAATGTTATCGTAAGATACTCCAGATTAAAGATCATTTTAAAACGTCTTCAAATCCCCGGTATGATTTGCGCTTTAATTAGGAAATTGAAATATTTGTTTAATTAAGTACATAATTTTTATTAAGCTTGATCTATTTTTTGTTCTATATATCTATTGAATATCACTACCCAAGCAGCACTAAACGTTGGAGGAACGTTTGCTTTATGTTCACTTGGTTTGGTTATATTGAAACAAAGTGGGAACTTTCGAAGAAAATATGTTTTAGAACCTTTAACCAATTTGCATCCGCAAGCGGAATATTCCGCGCATGACGATCGTCTTCCATCACCGAGCACGGAATATTCCGCGAGCTGCGACTTTCTTTTATCACCGCTCGCGGAATTTTCCGCATATGACACAGTTCACGTTTTGTTGTCAATCTATGAACATGTGAGCTATTTTCATTGCATTCTTAACAAATTTATGTTAAATAAACTTTACGAACTATTCGGAAGTTATTTACTGTAAAAATTTAACTGTGTACTGTAGAACGAGTGTACTGTAGAAGTTAACAAAAATAATAAAACTTCCGATATATGGCCGCGCGCAGTGATACGGGCCAACCGTTAGTTGAACGCCGCTGATGTCTGAACACAGAAACTTAAGTAAAGTCATTTTGCAAATGGGTTAATATATATTTTATGTAACAACAATGTCGTAGTATTATAATTATGCTGCTCTGTTACAATTCCATTTTTTAATTAAAAT